TCGTCGTCGTCGTCGTCCGGCGTCGTCGTCGTCTTCGTCCGGCGTCGTCCGAAGACACATTGGTTTTCGCACTCTAACTTTAGTTTAAGTGAATGGATCCTTATGAAATTTTACCACAAGGTTCAATACCACAAAAGGAAGGTTGGGATTGATTTTGGGGGTTATGGTAATAACAGTAAAGGAATTAGGGGCCAAAAAGGGGCCAAAAATAAGCATTTTTGTAACTTCCAGACATAACTTGTGTGTTAGTGTATGGATCTCTCTGACATTGTACCACAAGGTTCCATATCACTAAAGGAATGCTGGGATTGATTTTGGGGGTAATTGCCTCCAAATTTTAGGAATTAGGGGCCAAAAAAGGGGCAAAAAACAAGCATTTTTCTAGTTTCATGACAATAACTTGTGTGTAAGTGTATGGATCTTTCTGAAATTGTACTACAAGGTTCCATATCACAAAGGGAAAGCTGGGTTTGAGTTTGGGGGTAATTGCCCTAAACATTTAGGAATTTGGGGCCAAAAAGGGTTCAAAAAAATTTTTTTTTTCTAGTTTCCAGACAATAACTTGTGTTCAAGTGTATGGATCTCTCTGAAATTGTACTGCAAGGTACCATACCACAAAGGGAAGGCTGGGATTGAGTTTGGGGGTGATGAATCATAATGGGGGTTCAAAAAATTTTGGGGGGGGATTTATTTTTTTTTCCTTTTTTTTCTTTTTTTCCTTTTTTGTTTCTTTTAAAATTTTCCATTTTAAGTTGGTTATTTCTGATTTATATTTAAAATCAAATAATAATGATATGGTAGGAGATACACACCAAACAGGATGTGTAAATTATTATATAATAAGTATTGTGCAATAGCAAGAAATTTTCAATTGCACAGTATTGCACAATAGCAAGAAATCTTCAATTGCACAGTATTGCGCAATAGCAAGAAATCTTCAATTGCACAGTATTGCGCAATAGCAAGAAATATCCAATAGCACAATATTGCGCAATAGCAAGAAATTGTCAATTGTACAGTATTGCGCAATAGCAAGAAATATTTAATAGCACAGGATTGTGCAAAAGAAGATACTTCCTATAAATTGCTTATTTCTTGACCAATTTCAATGGGGTTTTATTCTTGATTTCATGGGGTTCTTTAATATGCTGAATCTAACCGTGTATTTAGTTTTTGGATTTTGGGCCCCGTTTTTAAATTGGTCCACATTGAGGTCCAAAGGGTCCAAAATTAAACTTTGTTTGATTTCATCAAAAATTGAATTATTGGGGTTCTTTGATATGCCGAATCAAACTGTGTATTTAGATTCTTAAATTTTGGTTCCGTTTTCAAATTGGTCTACATTAAGGTCCAAAGGGTCCAAAATTAAACTTAGTTTGATTTTAACAAAAATTGAATTCTTAGGGTTCTTTGATATGCTGAATCTAAACATGTATTTAGATTTTTGATTATGGGCCCAGTTTTCAAGTTGGTCCAAATCGGGGTCCAAAATTAAACTTTGTTTGATTTCAACAAAAATTGAATATATGGGGTTCTTTGATATGCTGAATCTAACCATGTATTTAGATTTTTGATTTTTGGGCCCCGTTATCAACTTTGTCCACATTGAGGTCAAAAGGGTTCAAAATTAAACTTTGTTTGATTTCATCAAAAATTGAATTATTGGGGTTCTTTGATATGCCGAATCTAACCGTGTATTTAGATTCTTAATTTTTGGTTCCGTTTTCAAATTGGTCTCCATTAAGGTCCAAAGGGTCCAAAATTAAACTTAGTTTGATTTTAACAAAAATTGAATTCTTAGGGTTCTTTGATATGCTGAATCTAAACATGTATTTAGATTTTTGATTATGGGCCCAGTTTTCAAGTTGGTCCAAATCGGGGTCCAAAATTAAACTTTGTTTGATTTCAACAAAAATTGAATATATGGGGTTCTTTGATATGCTGAATCTAACCATGTATTTAGATTTTTGATTTTTGGGCCCCGTTATCAACTTTGTCCACATTGAGGTCAAAAGGGTCCAAAATTAAACTTTGTTTGATTTCATCAAAAATTGAATTCTTGGGGTTCTTTGATATGCTGAATCTAACCATGTATTTAGATTTTGGATATTGGACCATAATAGGTGAATGTCCAATTTAAAATTTTTAAGTTCTTAGACCACATTCAATCTGTGTTAGAAACCTATGCTGTGTCAAATATTTAATCACAATCCAAATCCAAAGCTGTATCAAGCTTGAATGTTGTGTCCATACTTCCCCCAACTGTTCAGGGTTCGACCTCTGCGGTCGTATCAAGCTGCGCCCTGCGGAGCATTTTATTCTAGTTTCCAGACAATAACTTGTGTTCAAGTGTATGGATCACTCTGAAATTGTACTGCAAGGTACCATACCACAAAGGGAAGGCTGGGATTGAATTTGGGGGTGATGAATCATAAGGGGGTTCAAAAAATTTGGGGGGGGGGGGGGGTTTCCTTTTTTTTCTTTTTTTTTTCTTTTAAAATTTTCCATTTTAAGTTGGTTATTTCTGATTTATATTTAAAAGCAAATAATAATGATATGGTAGGAAATACACAATATATTATTATTGTAAATTATTATATAATAAGTATTGTGCAATAGCAAGAAATTTTCAATTGCACAGTATTGCACAATAGCAAGAAATCTTCAATTGCACAGTATTGCGCAATAGCAAGAAATCTTCAATTGCACAGTATTGCGCAATAGCAAGAAATATCCAATAGCACAATATTGCGCAATAGCAAGAAATTGTCAATTGTACAGTATTGCGCAATAGCAAGAAATATTCAATTGCACAGTATTGTGCAAAAGAAGATACTTCGTATAAATTGCTTATTTCTTGACCAATTTCAATGGGGTTTTATTCTTGAATTCTTGGGGTTCTTTAATATGCTGAATCTAACCGTGTATTAAGTTTTTGGATTTTGGGCCCCGTTTTTAAATTGGTCCACATTGAGGTCCAAAGGGTCCAAAATTAAACTTTGTTTGATTTCATCAAAAATTAAATTATTGGGGTTCTTTGATATGTCGAATCTAACCGTGTATTTAGATTCTTAATTTTTGGTTCCGTTTTCAAATTGGTCTACATTAAGGTCCAAAGGGTCCAAAATTAAACTTAGTTTGATTTTAACAAAAATTGAATTCTTAGGGTTCTTTGATATGCTGAATCTAAACATGTATTTAGATTTTTGATTATGGGCCCAGTTTTCAAGTTGGTCCAAATCGGGGTCCAAAATTAAACTTTGTTTGATTTCAACAAAAATTGAATATATGGGGTTCTTTGATATGCTGAATCTAACTATGTATTTAGATTTTTGATTTTTGGGCCCCGTTATCAACTTTGTCCACATTGAGGTCAAAAGGGTCCAAAATTAAACTTTGTTTGATTTCATCAAAAATTGAATTCTTGGGGTTCTTTGATATGCTGAATCTAACCATGTATTTAGATTTTGGATATTGGACCATTATAGGTGAATGTCCAATTTAAAATTTTTAAGTTCTTAGACCACATTCATTCTGTGTCAGTAACCTATGCTGTGTCAAATATTTAATCACAATCCAAATTCAGAGCTGTATCAAGCTTGAATGTTGTGTCCATACTTGCCCCAACTGTTCAGGGTTCGACCTCTGCGGTCGTATCAAGCTGCGCCCTGCGGAGCATTTTATTCTGTCTGCCTTAGGAAAAAATGTCTGGTAGTAAGTCTTCAATAGTTTTATCTTTGTCCTTTCTAGCTTTCAAAGCAGAAACTAAATTGTCACCAAATACACCTTCCCCAGTCAGCAGGAGATCTAAAATTTCTCTAGAGTCATGTAATAAGAACAATAATGTATCTGTCATACAGATTACAAATTTGGCTTCTTTAAATATAGTGAAATGCACCAGCTCTGCCCACTTGATCGAACTCTTTGGTGGACAAAAATGTCCCATACTTGTTGAATAGCTTTGTCAATGTCTGGTTTATCATGGTATACCATTGTCTGTCTGTTTGTCTGTCTGTCCATCCGTCTGTCCGTCCGTCTTTTGTCAGTCTGTCAGTCCGTCGTCAACATGTCGGACATTAACTCAAAAACGCTTTAAATAATATGCATGAAACTTTGGTGAATTGTTTATATCTATTGACGTGAGCTCTCTTTCGTTTTTTTTTATAAATTTCAGATTTACCGTTTCTGAGTTTTGGGGTTTTATTCATTAAAAAAGGGGGGATTTTCCAGTTTTCCAACAATAACTCAAGAATGCTTTCACCAACTTGCAAGAAATTTTGGTGAATTGTTTATATCTATTGACATGAGCTCCCTTTTGATTTTTGATAAATTTTAGATTTTACGTTTACGAGTTACAGGGTTTTATTCATAAAAAGGGGGATTTTCCAGTTTTCGGACATTAACTAAAAAATGCTTTCAGCAGTTCTCATAAAACTTGGGTGAAATTTTTATATTTGTTGATGTAAGCTCCCTTTAGAATTTTATAAATTTTAGATTTTACATTTCAGAGTTATTAGGTTTTATTCATTAAAAAAGGGGGGATTTTCCAGTTTTTGGACAATAACTTAAAAATGCTTTTAGCAGTTCGCATGACACTTTGGTGAATTATTTATAGCTATTGATGTAATCTCCCTATTGATTTTCATAAATTTCAAATATGACATTGAGAAGAAATTGTACTTTATTTGTTTATAGTCTGACAACAGATTTACTAAGTATTGCACAACAGCACAGTCTATTGCACAACAGCAAGAAATCTTTAATTGAATAAATATTCAATTCATAAAACCAATTTCAAGTTCTTTGACTACATTTATTCAGAAACCTATAATATGTCAAATATTTAATTACAATCCAAATTCAGACCTGTATCAAGCTTGAATATTGTGTCCATTTTTGCCCCAACTGTTCAGGGTTGGACCTCTGCGGGCGTATCCAGCTGCGCTCAGTGAAGCAGTTTATTCATTATATATTGAATTGATTGTAAATTTTTTTTTTAGGCTATGACATGTCAACTTATATAAGAAGATATTCCAAGTACCTAAATGAAAAGGCTGTGTCATATAGATCCATGGCATTTGATTTCTGTAAAATCAGACGAGGGTAAGATTGATATTGAGCAGTGTTAGAGAAATGCTTGACAAGTGCAAAAATTATCTGATTCTCCAGATCAACCTGTTCTACCAAATTTATCAAATGAATCTAGTTATTGCTCATATAGGATGATCTTTGACTAATTTTAGTGTGTTTATACGACTGCAAAAAATTTTTTGCATCGTATAATGCTATAATGTCTTTGTCGTCGGCGTCAGCATCGTCCGAAGACACATTTGGTTCCGTACAATAACTTTAGTTTAAGTGAATGGATCTCTAAGAAATTTTACCAGAAGGTCCAATACCACAAAAGGAAGATTGGGATTGATTTATGGGGTTATGGTACCAACAGTTTAGGAATTAGGGGCCAAAAAGAGGCCAAAAACAAGTATTTTTGTAGTTTCCTGACAATAACTTGAGTGTAAGTGTATGGATCTCTCTGAAATTGTACCACAAGATTTTATATCACAAAGGGAAGGCTGGGATTGAGTTTTGGGGTAATTACCCCAAATGTTCAGGAATAAGGGGCAAAAAAGGGGCCAAAAACAAGCATTTTTCTAGTTTCCAGACAATAACTTGTGTTTAAGTGTATGGATCTCTCTAAAATTGTACTACAAGGTTCCATACAACAGAGGGAAGGCTGGGATTGAGTTTGAGGGTAATTACTCCGAAATTGGTTCAAAAAGTTGGGGGGATTTTTTTTTCCAATTTTTTTGGGGGGTTCATTTTTTTCTTCAAAACTTTGAAATCTTCAATTGCACAGTATTGCGCAATAGCAAGAAATCTTCAATTGCACAGTAATGCGCAATAGCACAGTATTGTATAATAGCACAGTATTGGGGAAAAGCAAGAAATCTTAGATTGCACAGTATTGCGCAATAGCACAGTATTGCGCAACAACACACTATTGTGCAATAGAAAGAAATCTTCAATTGCACAGTATTGTGCAATAGCAAGAAATCTTCAGTTGCACAGTATTGCGCTACAGCACAGTATTGCACAACAACACAGTATTGCGCAATAGCAAGAAATCTTCAATTGCACAGTATTGCACAATCGCACAGTATTGCACAATAGCACTTTATTACACAAAAGCAAGAAATCTTCAATTGCACAGTATTGCAGAATAGCAAGAAATTTTCAAATGCACAGTATTGCGCAATAGCAAGAAATCAATTGCACAGTATTGCACAATAGAAAGAAATCTTCAATTGCACAGTATTGCGCAATAGCACAGTATTGCACAATAGCAAGAAATCTTCAATTGCACAGTATTGCGCAATAGCACAGTATTGCGCTACAACACAGTATTGCTCAACAACACAGTATTGCGCAATAGCACAGTATTGCACAATAGCAAGAAATCTTCAATTGCACAGTATTGCGCAATAGGAAGAAATCTTCAATTGAAAATAAATACAAATCTTTTAACCAATTTCAATAGAATTAATTTAAAGTCTTTAATTTTTGGGGGTTCTAACCTTGTATTACTTTTTTGGATATTTGGCCTCATTTTTAAATTGGTCTACATTGAGGTCAAAAGGATCCAAAATCAAACTTTGTTTGATTTCATCAAAAACTGAATTATTGCGGCTGTATGATATGCTGAATCTTATTGTGCATTTAGATTTTTTATTTTGGGCCCTGTTTTCAAATTAGTCCATATTAAGGTTTAAAGGGTCCAAAATTAAACTTTGTTTGATTTCAACTAAAATTAAATTTTTGGGTTTTGTTTTATATGCTGAATCTAACCATGTTGTTAGATTTTGGATATCAGACCATTCTAGGTAAATTAAATGTCCCATTTCAAAATTTTAAGATCTTTAACCACATTTATTTTGTGTCAGAAACCTATATTATGTCAAAAATTTAATACAATCCAAATTCAGACAGTATCAAGCTTGAATATTGTGTCCAACCTTTCCCCAACTGTTCAGGGTTTTACCTCTGCGGTCGTATCAGGCTGCGCTCAGTGAAGCATTTTATTGTCTTTTATCTCAAAAACTGTAATAGATGGGCAGAAACTTTTAACAGTAGAAATGATGAACAAAACAAGATCTAAAAAAATACCATAATGCCTCATTATGATATCATTGATATCGACTAACTTCTTTTTGGAATTATTAACCTTATATCTTTTTTTGTCTCACCCTGTTGGCAGTGACAGAGGTATCTCTTTGCTTAAGGCTTCATATTTCAGAAAGTCACATGTAGACACAGATACTTTATATCTTGTATAGGAATAAAACCACTAATTCAAAGCCCCATTGCTTTCTATGTTCAAATCTGCAATTTCAAGCATTAATGTCTTCTTTGTCTAAAGTTCAAATAAAGTGGCAGTCATTTCATGTTAAAACTATACCTTATCCTGACTTGTGCTGAAAAATTCAACATACCTTTAATTGCATATTAGAGAGCACTGGTTCCCGGATGTTTGGTAGCACAAAAACAGGTGCTCACTATTTTAATTTTGCTCAGTTCTTATTATGGCACCCTCAACGGAGTTGGGTGACATATTGTTATTATACGTTTCTTTTTTCTTATTTTTCTTCCACTTTTTTTGTCCAGCTTATATCTCGGAATTTTATGAACCAGTGTTAATGGAACTATACAGAAATGTTAACCAGCATGTGCAGATTTGCAATCGGGGTATGGCATTTTCAAGATGGCCACCTTTTTAATGAAAACAGCAAAAATGTCAAAAATGTCAAAATGCTCCAAACTTAATGAAACTTTACAACAATCTTTATTGGCATGTGTAGATGTGCTCTTTGACTTTGGAATTTTCAAAATGGCTGCCTTTACCCTGGCAATGGGGGGACAAGGATGCCATCCATTGTTGCTCACAATTACAAATCTAGTTATTATTCTTCTTCTTCTTCTTCTTCCTCTTCCTCTTTCGCCGCCTTAAAATTTGAACTTGTCTGCACCCGTTCTCCAAAACCGCTTCTCAGATTAACTTAGGGTTCCACAATATGTTAGACTAACATGTCTAGTGGTGCAATCAGGGTTTTGTTTGTGCAATGGGGTTTATAAAGGGGTACTTTGAGGGGCAAAAAGACAGGAGGGTTTTACTATAGAACCCTATGGGATTTGATTTTTTTATGCCCCCGCCATAGCAGAGGGGGCATTAAGTTTTACCCTTGTCCATCTGTACATCAGTCTGTCCGTCCGTCCGTCCGTCCGTACGTCCCAAATTTGATTTCCGTTCTTTAACTTTAGTTTGCCTCAACCAAATGTTATGAAACTTATACACAAAGCTCATTACCATAAGATACAGATCAAGTTTGAAATTGGGTGCCGTCACTTTTACTGTTCTTGAGTTATGCGCCTTTCTAAACATAAAAAATGCTGAATTTTTCGTTTCCGTTCTCTAACTTTAGTTTGCCTCAACCAAATGTTATGAAACTTATACACACTGCTTATTACCACAAAATACAGATCAAGTTCGAAATTGTGTGGCGTCACTTTTACCGTTCTTGAGTTATGCCCCTTTCTAAACAAAAGTTGCTGATTTTTTTCGTTTCCGTTCTCTAACTTTAGTTTGCCTCAACAAAATGTTATGAAACTTATACAGAATGCTAATTACCACATAATGCAGACCATGTTCGAAATTGGGTGGCTTCACTTATATCGTTCTTGAGTTATGCCCCTTTATAAACATAAAAATTGCTGAATTTTTGGTTTCCATTCTCTAACTTTAGTTTGCCTCAACAAAATTTTATGAAACTTATACACAATGCTTATTACCATAAAATACAGATCAAGTTTGAATTTTGGTAGTATCACTTTTACCGTTCTTGAGTTTTGCCTATTTACAAATGGAAAATTTGCTGAATTTTTTCGTTTCTGTTCTTGAACTTAAGTTAGCCACAACCAAATGTTATGAGACTTATTTTTACCATATGCCAATAAGACTGATCCTTCGGAAATTTGAATACAATGTTCATTTGCACAAAAAAAAATGAAAGCTGCCAATGGTATAGATTTAATGATTTTTATTGATATTTTGTGCATGGATGGATCTTTGTCCCAAGATGATGTGTCTCATACCATTAAAAATGAATCTAACCTGAACATTGAACCTCTGTCAAATATTTTATATTTTTAGGGACATAACCCTGAAAACCATAAATTATTGTTTCCAATGACCTTGTCGGTGCACCCTAGGATTTGGCCATTTTTGGTGATGATCCTGCTCCTCTTCATAACTCCAAAAGTCTGTTCCCCACTCCTAAACCATATTAATATACCATAAGGTTCAATACCACGAAAGGAAGGTTGGGATTGATTTTCGGGGGTTATGGTACCAACAGTAAAGGAATTAGGGGCCAAAAAGGGGCCAAAAATAAGCATTTTTGTAACTTCCAGACAATAACTTGTGTGTAAGTGTATGGATCTCTCTGACATTGTACCACAAGGTTCCATATCACAAAGGGAAGGCTGTAATTGATTTTGGGGGTAATTGCCTCAAAATTTTAGGAATAAGGGGCCAAAAAAGGGGCAAAAAACAAGCATTTTTCTAGTTTCATGACAATAACTTGTGTGTAAGTGTTTGGATATTTCTGAAATTGTACTCCAAGGTTCCATATCACAAAGGGAAAGCTGGAATTGAGTTTGGGGGTAATTGCCAAAAACGTTTAGGAATTGGGGGCCAAAAAGGGGCCAAAAATAAGCCTTTTTCTAGTTTCCAGACAATAACTTGTGTTCAAGTGTATGGATCTCTCTGAAATTGTACTGCAAGGTACCATACCACAAAGGGAAGGCTGGGATTGAGTTTGGGGGTGATGAATCATAAGGGCGTTCAAATAATTTGGGGGGGGGATTTTTTTTCTTTTCTTTTTTTCCTTTTTAATTTCTTTTAAAATTTTCCATTTTAAGTTGGTTATTTCTGATTTATATTTAAAAGCAAATAATAATGATATGGTAGGAGATACACACCAAACAGGATGTGTAAATTATTATATAATAAGTATTGTGCAATAGCAAGAAATTTTCAATTGCACAGTATTGCACAATAGCAAGAAATCTTCAATTGCACAGTATTGCGCAATAGCAAGAAATCTTCAATTGCACAGTATTGCGCAATAGCAAGAAATATCCAATAGCACAATATTGCGCAATAGCAAGAAATTGTCAATTGTACAGTATTGCGCAATAGAAAGAAATATTCAATTGCACAGTATTGTACAAAAGAAGATACTTCGTATAAATTGGTTATTTCTTGATCAATTTCAATGGGGTTTTATTCTTGAATTCTTGGGGTTCTTTAATATGCTGAATCTAACTGTGTATTAAGTTTTTGGATTTTGGGACCCGTTTTTTAATTGGTCCACATTGAGGTCCAAAGGGTCCAAAATTTAGCTTTGTTTGATTTCATCAAAAATTGAATTATTGGGGTTCTTTGATATGCCGAATCTAACCGTGTATTTAGATTCTTAATTTTTGGTTCCGTTTTCAAATTGGTCTACATTAAGGTCCAAAGGGTCCAAAATTAAACTTAGTTTGATTTTAACAAAAATTGAATTTTTAGGGTTCTTTGATATGCTGAATCTAAACATGTATTTAGATTTTTGATTATGGGCCCAGTTTTCAAGTTGGTCCAAATCAGAGTCCAAAATTAAACTTTGTTTGATTTCAACAAAAATTGAATATATGGGGTTCTTTGATATGCTGAATTTAACCATGTATTTAGATTTTTGATTTTTGGGCCCCGTTATCAACTTTGTCCACATTGAGGTCAAAAGGGTCTAAAATTAAACTTTGTTTGATTTCATCAAAAATTGAATTCTTGGGGTTCTTTGATATGCTGAATCTAACCATGTATTTAGATTTTGGATATTGGACCATAATAGGTGAATGTCCAATTTAAAATTTTTAAGTTCTTAGACCACATTCATTCTGTGTCAGAAACCTATGCTGTGTCAAATATTTAATCACAATCCAAATTCAGAGCTGTATCAAGCTTGAATGTTGTGTCCATACTTGCCCCAACTGTTCAGGGTTCGACCTCTGCGGTCGTATCAAGCTGCGCCCTGTGGAGCATTTTATTATTATTGCGACAAATGCGACAGAGTTGTAAACGCAATAATTTAAACTCGCATTTTGAAATATTTTATATGAACTAAACAGGATTTTTCTCAAAATCGTAAAAATTAAAATCGCATTTAAGTCTACAATGACAAAATCGCAATAATAAATGCACGCAATAATTTCTGAATTTACAGTATTCTTAATTGTAATGGCATGACTTTTATAGTGTACCATAGGTTTTGTCTCTAGGGTTGAATGTCCCTGCCCCCATTTTATCTTAATTTGTAAATATATTTTAAAAACTATTCAGACCCCTACTCCTAATCAACATATATTCTTGTCATGGAAAGGCCTCTCCTGAGAGTGCACAATAAGTTTTGTTCTGGGGGTCAAGCCCTGCCCCTTTTATCTCATATTTTTATACGACCGCAAAAATTAAAAATTTTTTGGTCGTATATTGGTATGACGTTGGCGTCGTCGTCGTCGTCGTCGTCGTCGTCGTCGTCGTTGTCCGGCGTCGTCTGGCGTCGTCTGGCGTCGTCCGAAGACACATTGGTTTTCGCACTCTAACTTTAGTTTAAGTTAATGGATCTCCATGAAATTTTACCATAAGGTTCAATACCACGAAAGGAAGGTTGGGATTGATTTTGGGGGTTATGGTACCAACAGTTAAGGAATTAGGGGCCAAAAAGGGGCCAAAAATAAGCATTTTTGTAACTTCCAGACAATAAGTTGTGTGTAAGTGTATGGATCTCTCTGACATTGAACCACAAGGTTCCATATCACATAGGGAAGGCTGTAATTGATTTTGGGGGTATTTGCCTCAAAATTTTAGGAATTAGGGGCCAAAAAAGGGGCAAAAAACAAGCATTTTTCTAGTTTCATGACAATTACTTGTGTGTAAGTGTTTGGATATTTCTTAAATTGTACTACAAGGTTCCATATCACAAAGGGAAAGCTGGAATTGAGTTTGGGGGTAATTGCCCGAAACGTTTAGGAATTCAGGGCCAAAAAGGGGCCAAAAATAAGCATTTTTCTAGTTTCCAGACAATAACTTGTGTTCAATTGTATGGATCTCTCTGAAATTGTACTGCAAGATACCATACCACAAAGGGAAGGCTGGGATTGAGTTTGGGGGTGATGAATCATAAGGGGGTACAAAAAATTTGGGGGGGGGGGGAGTTTTCTTTTTTTTTCTTTTTTTCCTTTTTTTTTTTCTTTTTTTCCTTTTTTTTATACGACCGCAAAAAAATTTTGAGGTCGTATATTGGTATGACGTTGGCGTCGTCGTCGTCATCGTCGTCGTCGTCTGGCGTCGTCGTCCGAATACACAATGGTTTTCGCACTCTAACTTTAGTTTAAGTGAATGGATCTCTATGAAATTTTACCATAAGGTTCAATACCACAATAGGAAGGTGGGGATTGATTTTAGGGGTTATGGTACCAACAGTTAAGGAATTAGGGGCCAAAAAGGGGCCGAAAATAAGCATTTTTGTAACTTCCAGACATAACTTGTGTGTTAGCATATGGATCTCTTTGACATTGTACCACAAGATTCCATATCACAAAGGGTCAATGCTGGGATTGATTTTGGGGTTAATTGCCTCAAAATTTTAGGAATAAGGGGCCAAAAGGGGGCAAAAAACTAGCATTTTTCTAGTTTCATGACAATAACTTGTGTGTAAGTGTATGGATCTTTCTGAAATTTTACTACAAGGTTCCATTTCACAAAGGGAAAGCTGGAATTGAGTGTTGTGGTAATTGCCCAAAACGTTTAATGATAAGGGGCCTAAAAAGGGGTTTAAAATAAGCATTTTTTAGTTTCTAGACAATAACTTGTGTTCAAGTGTATGGATCTCTCTAAAATTGTATTACAAGGTACCATACCACAAAGGCAAGGCTGTTATTGAGCTTGGTTTGGGGGGAAAGGGGGGTGGGGGTGATGAATCATAAGGGGGGCGGGGGTCAAAAAAGGGGTAATTTTTTTGTTTCCTTTTTTTTTTGTTTAAAATTTACATTTTAAGTTTGTTATTTTTTATCACGAAGAGAAAGTAGGAATTGAGTTTTGGGGTTAATTGCTCAAACATTTATGAATAAGGGGCCAAATATTGGTCGAAAATAAGGATTTTTTTAGTTTGCAACAAAAACTTGTGTTCAAGTGTATGGATCTCTGTGAAATTGTATTGCAATGTACCATACCACAAATTGAAGGTTGTGATTGAGGTGGGGGATGATGAATCAAAAGGGGGTTGAAAAAATGTGTGGGGGGTAGGATTTTTTTTTTTCCTTTTTTTTTCTTTAAAATTTTCCATTTAAAGATGGTTGTTTCAGATTTATATATGAAAGAAAATAATAATGATACGGTTATATATCATGAGGAACTGAAATTTAAAATTATGTATATTGGAAATTGAGGTTACATTGGAAAGTAATAATTGGCTTTGGGGGAGGGGGGGGGGGGGGGTGGTTATGGCTCTAATGTTTAAGGAATAAGGGGAAAAAAGGTTAAAAAACAAGGGTTTCCATTTTAATAGACAAATAATTGAGTAAAGAACATTATTTAAAAGCAGTGTAAGGTTGGTAATTCAAACTCATTGAAATATCTCATCTACACTGCTTTTAAATTATGTAAATTGGAAATTTGCCAATAACTTTATTGTTAACAAATGCATTGGAAATTTGCCAACAATTTTAGTGTAATAAACTTCATTGGAAATTTGCCAATATAAAATTTTGCTGATGAAGGTTATTTGTTTACCTTTAGCCTTGACTATGAAGTCATTTTCTATTTTTATAGCCTTATGATATAGTTGAATTATTTAATATTTTTATGATGTGTTTAAATGGGGTTTTATCATGTTTATGGTTGCAAATTTATTGTTTTAGTATAATAAACTCCATTTAAAATTTGCCAATAAAAAAAATTTTTGTTTATTTTTAGCTATGATTATGATGTCATTTTCTATTTTACTTTTATGGTTGCAAAGAAATTTTTATTTTTAGATATTACTTTTAAATGATGCTGATTAAGGTTTTTGCTATGTTTAGCCATGACTATGATGTCATTTTCTATTTTAATATCTGTTATGATGTATTTAAATGGGCTTTTATGGTTACAAAGGAATTTTATTTTTAGATATTACTATAAAATGTTGCTGATGCTGATTAAGGATTTTGTTTATTTTTAGCCATGACTATGATGTCATTTTCTATTTTAATACCTTTATGATGTAATTTCCATTTTTAGATATTACTGTTAAATGATGCTGATTAAGGGTTTTTTGCTATGTTTAGCCATGACTATGATGTCATTTTCTATTTTAATATCTTTATGATGTATTTAAATGGGCTTTTATGGTTACAAAGGAATTTTATTTTTAGATATTACTTTAAATATTGCTGATTAAGGATTTTTGTTTATTTTTAGCCATGACTATGATGTCACTTTCTATTTTAATACCTTTATGATGTATTTAAATGGGCTCCCATATGCATGTATTTAGATTTTTGATTATTTATACATGTTACCAAATTGGTCCACATTGAACAAAAACGGTCCAAATTTCAACTTTATTACATTACATCAAACATTGAATTCTACATATTCTTTGATATATTGAAATTAACAAACAATTTAGTTTATGGATATTCCACCATAATAGGTAAATTAAATTTTTTCCAGTTCTTACACCACATTCATCCTGTGTCAGAAACCTATGCTGTGTCAAATATTTAATGACAATCCAAAGTCGTAGCTGTATCAAGCTTGAATTTTGTGTCCATACTTGCCCCAACTGTTCAGGGTTCGACCTCTGCGGTCGTATCAAGCTGCGCCCCAGCGAAGCATTTTATTTTTAAATATCGGTACCACTGTTCAGCTTTCAACCCAGAAACGATGAATATTCTGAATTGCAATAACTGTAATAAATTCTTCCTTATGCACCTCTGAATGAGTTTTTGTGGTCACATGGACTTAATTAGCCATTTCTTCTTATATTAGTGTGTTAAACTACAACTCCAGGAACAATTTTTATAAATTGTCACCAACTTTTCTAGAACTTGAAGTTGTTCACTTTCCATTTAAATTGATACCAAAACATGGACTTCCCCATTTCTGCAAATATTATTTGGAGACAACAGGTGACAAAGTCTTTGGAAGACTCGCCTATTTTAAGTGTTTTACAACACTTTTATATGCAAACTAGGTGTAAGGAGATGTGGCATGATGAAAGCATTTACACACATATATATATCCATACATGGAGAGAATGCTCTGATGTGTAATAAAATCATTTAAAAGTGTTTCGATTCCTACATTGTTTGTATGCAGTACTGAAGAAAAACCATTTTATACATTCTTAAGATACAGTATAACTTATACCCAAAAAGCTGGGTTTGTAAAGTATCTTGTAAATACAATATAATAGGGATGGTATACTCATACACTAAATGTGTTGTTGATTAGGACAAATTTATGTATTTTCATGCTGGTGATTCAGAGTTCATTATGAAATTATGAAGGAAGCAGTCATTATTTTTTTATACTTAATCTGTTTGTTATATTATCTGTTTGTTTTCTCTCTACAAACATTCAGTAATCTGTTTAATAGGTTGAAGTAAACAGTAGTTTACCAATGTTCAAAATATCACATTAACTGAGTGACACTGGGTACATTAACTGAGGTTATCACATATTTTGTACTGAT